GTGTGGCGCTCAATAATTTTGCTATGGAACGGTGCTTTCTCGCGATCATTAAGCCCTCGCCGACTGCAGACTGATCGGTAACGTGATCCAGACCACCTTGTATTCGTAGAGACGAAGAAGAAGACATGTCGATCACTGGAATCGTGATTTTATTCATCTGAGCTGGCGCCGGCATACATCGCTCTGCGCAGGCATCTCCGTACTGACGTCACTGACGGTTGATTGGCCCCTGCTCCTTATAACGGTTACTTATTTTTCGTAGATGCTTTTATCTCTTGATAATGAACTCCACTAAAAGTTCGGAAGCTCAGACGAATGAAACTATGGTTCTGGTGATCGACATGTCTTCTTGTCCTCTGCCTATACATACACCTGAGATGCGAATTTTTGCCTCAATACAGTGTATTCCTCAGCGGAAAAAAAATCATGTTTCACCCTTGAAGATAAAAAAATTAGTCGGAAATGAATGCCAAATCCACATCGAAGGGTTTTTTCGTGACTGCTTTCTGAACTTCCGGACGGAGGTCATCTTGCGTAGGCGTGTGCGTCATCACTTCTACTCTGCGCGCACTCCTTGATGGAATTTTGTGCAGTTAGCAGAACAGAATTTCCATTCTGTATCATCTGCTTCATCGCCGTATGTTTTGGAGCCCAATAGCTACACAAACCGCCCCTTTTGACAGCCTTCGTCGAAATTGATAGCCGGTCCTCCTTCTCTCCCCTGATGGATATCGGGACATCGTATAATTTCTGCGGCCGAGGCCCTCATGCACACTCCCCGGACCATCGTATCCACATAATTTTCACGAACGTACTACCGTTTTCTGCGAATACAGCTGAACATGCGTGTCCCAGGAAGTAAGTGAGAATGAGTACATGTGATTGCTGGGTCAGGAATTCTAATCGCTTGACGTTTCTAAATCCGTCGCGAATCCATCATCAGAGACATTAGCAGAAACGGGTAATTCATACACAGGGAGTTGCCGTACCAATAGGATACAGTCACTAGGCTACTGCATACCCATGACAGTTAACGACTACTCCCTATCGAAGATAGTTGTCCGCTTGTGCGCTAACTGCTTGATGACCGGCGTGCGCTTTGTGACCTGCTGAAATGCCATCACCGGTCTTGGATCTCGTCAAATGAACCGCAACCTGAGAATTGGCGTCATCTTTCCGCACGGTTGCCGCGTCTTTAGAAGTCTTCCAGTTTTTTTCCGACGCATTTACTTTATCCGTCCAGCAGGTCACGATTGACGCTGCTCATCAAGAAATTTGCGCACCAGCGGGTGGATATCCTCGAGAGAGGGGGGTAGCCGTTAATTATCATAACTATGCAGTAGAATAGCGATTGTATCCTATAGATGTGGCAACTCCCTGAATTGCCCGTTGCTGCTATTAACTCTGATGGTGGATCTGCGGCGGAATCCGAAACGCCAGGCGCATAAATCTTTTGTTCCTCTACTTCTTCTTAATCTTGTTTTCTGTCAACGTCCCGTCTTAAACCTTTAACCCTTAAATTGCCACATCCTCTGGCATCGTTGTCTGTGTCAAACATTACTGCACGCCTATTGGATACGGGCCATTCTGTGGACCCCAAAACATCCTTCCGAGTACTTGTTCGGGCACGAACAACTCGTACGTTACGCTACCTGGGGGCAGCCTACATACGGCGGTTTAAACCTGACCTATGTAAACAACTAGAACATTTAGTGAATCTAACTCTGCCGTGGTAACACCGGCTCCCTGGGTACACATTCCTCTTCCCGACCTTTTTGCCTTAGACGTTTTTACCCCGTTTTTACTGCCCACAGCGTTTAACTTTCTTACTTTATTGATTTCCTCTTGGCCAATTCTTGTGACCTTACTGTTTATATCGATTTTTCTGTATGAATTTAATGTTGTATTTTTTTCTCATTCGTTACTCACTTTATGCAGTGAGGACGCAGCTGATGCGCACTGGCGAAATTTATGGTTCCAGTAAATTCTGCTGTATATGCTATCTTCAAATTTGTACTTGGGAAAAGATGCTTCAAACATATCACTAATTATTTTTTTCCCTGTTTTTACCTCTTAGTGTCTACATCTAGTACTGAGGAGCGTCTGGTTTGCCCAATCACCAACGGTAACCTCTGGGGTCCCTTTGTCCTGGAAATGGATGAGGAGCAGTCGCGTCGCTCGCCCAATGGCCTGCAGGTGCGCAGCTTCGAGTTTGACATCAATGCGGACTACCTGGACACCATTGTTAAACGGCTGGATCTGGACATTGTGGTGTGCAGCCATCTGAGTAGCGAA